CCGGCAGTGAAGAGAAGGGCATCCCCATTGAAGGAATCACCTGTTCGTGTCAAAGAAGAAGAGACATCCGATTGCCCTATGGAGCAAGTTGTTGGTGTGAAGCCCATAACTTCGAATGATCCCGAAGAAGATGATGTTAACATGGAGAAGGTAGACTATGGACGAGAGACCGACGACGATGAAGAGAAGGATAAGTGGAGCTACCTCCCGCAGGAAGGCCGAAGTCAAAGGTGATGCCGAAACCAAAGTCACCTCCACCGACATTGAGGCTGGTACCCAAGATCAAGCCCATTCCAAAGAACGAATCCGACAACCATCCTGGTGAACGACCTCCTCTTCCACGACGACCAGAGATTCGGCCAGCTACGCCATCCAATGACCGATGGATCACATCCGGTGAATCCGCGACCGGCATCTACCTCCTGAAGGAATCCGTCAACCACCAGAACAAACGATTCCTTTCCTTCGTGTCAGAATACTACTCCGAGCGCTCCACCATCCTCGATCACTGTCCCTACGTTCCTGAGCAAGGTAGAGAGAAAGGTGATAAGCTGTTCTGGGTGAAAACCAGATTCAGTGACTACTGGCAGCTCAGGAGAAGGCCAGCATGCAGAAAAACAGTACATGGAGTTCATCAAGAAGATCTACAGCATTTGCTGCAACACCCATGCACAGCCAGACAAGGTCAATACCGAGGTCATCCCAATGGTATGTCGCAATCGCATGATCGACCTTAACAGAATCGTCAAGAATGTAAAGAAGATTTGCACCTACCTCAACTTGTATACATCCAAGGCAAAACAGATCACAGACTTCATCCTCTGGCGCATTGGGCGATTGAGTAGATTAAGATTGTTTTCCGGATCTTTGCGTCATGATCCGCGATACAGGACCACCAAGCGCCTCAGGCGAGACGTTACTGCGCACAGTGATGGATCTTGCGAACTCTACGACGCATAACACATGCGAGGAACTTCATGAACAGTAAACCAAGACTTCTCCTGGTGACTATGTTCCCGACATACGGAAAGACACGTTTCGAGATTGCTTTTGTGTATCTATCCGTGGACGGGACACACAAGGAACGCACGCAGAAGGGAAGCCCAGTTCCAAGGAACCGATGGATCGACAACCTCACATCCAATGATTGCAGCACACGAGGCACTCAGACCTGCTGGCCACGCATTCCTAAATGATAAAGAGATCTATGTGCGATGCGCCAGGGGTCATTCCCATGATGTCGATATCACTTCCGTTGGACGCCCCCTTTGGCATGGACAGGAGGATGAGAAGCAACAAGAACCGGACTACGATCTTCCTTCGGAGATGATTCCACCAAGTCCGCATCCTTCAAGAACCAGCGCAGCTCATGAAGAAGAAGACTCAGCTCAGGCGAAGTACCAAATGCGACGGCCAGCACCTCAATCCATTGGACCCAAGGCAACCCCTCGGGGAGAGTACATACTCATCTCGCCTGCATCGATGACATCATTCTCGATGATGACCCACGCGAAGCAGCGATGAAACATGTACCAGGTGGTCGTGATGCGTTGTTGATCATAGCGATCCTCAAGAACGATGACTACCGCATCCGACTCAACGAGGAGCGAACTGCGTTGATCGAGCAGACCGTCGAACCAAGGGGCATCATAGCAGCTTTCGATACTGAGGGAAATCAAATCCTGAACAACAGCTGGATCATGAAGAAGCATGTGTCCCGAGAAGATTCGGAGATGTATGACACCAAGATCCGTGAATTTGCTCAGAATTTCTTCACATATGTAATTCCAAGAACCCAAAGCAGGAAAGATCCGAATGAGATACACCCACCAAGGCCAAGAAGCGACGGCACTCCACCGACAAGGACGAAGAAGATGAGGAGACGATGGAACTCTCCGGGGAGAGATCCGTAAAGTCAAAGGCCACGATGGAGTATCATGCACCGGAGAACGTGGACACCTTCGTCAGTGCGTTCAAGGAAGAATGCCTGGAAATTGAAATGACCAAGCAGGATGCCGAGTAAGAGCTCGAGGAAACCAAGAATGCGAACGCGCATCGTTGGCACATGTTGATCCAGACGTCAACTATGACGAAGAGGAGTTCTGTTTCTTCCACAAGGCACGCATTCAGGTATGAGCAGCCAGCATCCGGATATCCGATCAGACTTCCTATGGGGTTGAAGAGCCTTCGAACATCATCCAAAGCTCATCCAGGAATTCGCCGATATGTTGGGATCGCTGATGCAGCCAACTGACCGTCCATATGTTGATCACCTCAAGGAGCACAACTTCACCTCCTGCATGACAATCAACATGCTAACCATGAACCACGGGAACCTTACGAGGAATCCAAGGCTCTGCCTAAACGAAGCGGACGCGTTCCTCCATCCTGGTGATGAGAGGTCCAAGGAGCTCATCAAGACGTTCATCCGATTCAGACACAAGGGCATCGTGACCCAGCAATGGTCATCCAGACCCGTCGCACGCTTTGTCCGCGGCGGACCATCGGCCAGAGTTGAGCTACTGGCACGGCACATTTCCACGAAGCGGCAAGACTGGGGAACTCGTTTGGTATGTTCAGATGTTTCTTTGGAGTTGAACAAGATTTCGTTGATGCCGAGTACGGTGATCCCACTCGCGACTGTTTGGCCACCACAGGACCATTTAATGATCCTCAGAAGTACATTGGAAAGAGATTGCCGCCACGAACCACTGTTCAAGCATACGGACGCAACAGAGAAACCGTTGTCATCCAGATTGAGCAGAACAATGAACTCCGTGGATTGTTTCCGAAATCATCCAATGACGGAACTACGACTTCGACAGCCGCCATGTCACGAGGGCAGATCTTCCGTATGCGACGATTGGAGTTTTCCATATCCATCCGTCAATCACACATGGAGCAGCAAGGGAAGATTTTCAATCAGTGATCCTGCCACTACAAGCAAAGTACCAATGTGATGCCATCACAGGAGATGCCAACATACAGCAGACTCCAGAGCGTTTACAATCCAGCTAACAGACTCATGAACATCCTCATGAAGAGCTTCCAGAGATTGTGGAACGACATGGAGGAATTGCCGCTGTTTGACAGATTGGAAAATGCCATGGAACTCATGCACCATGAAATCCATCGTACGTCATCAGCTATTCATGACGACTGGCTCCGGAAGTGATAGAACCTTCCCTGACGTCATGATGACATTCGTATATGGGTGGGGCAAGACGAACATCCAACAAGAATTCCGTGACAATGAGATTTCCATGATGACTGATGAACAAATCCAGGACATGCGAGACAATCCTGCACGAGCCGTGTTCGACTATCAGAGCGTTTCAAGCATTTGAACAACGAGATGTTCATGAACGGCTCGCAAGACACCGACTCCCATAGTCCATTGATGGTATACATCCGAAGCCGCCATGCCACCAAGCAAAGGAATCACCAAAGCTCCCAAGAGTACTACAAGAAGAAGGCATCCTGGGCACAGCAGGATTACAAGGAGTACAACAAGCAGTGGGGCATGCAGCAGAAGCAATGGAAGGACTATAGCGACTCGACCTGGCACGACTATGCAGAACATGGCAGCCAATCAGACAGCAGTTATCATTGGAACCGCAGGAACTGACTAGCTGATGCAGCCGCCACCTTTGGCATCCGTCCGAGTGATCTGCCAACACAGGAGATTTTTCTGAAGCTCGACTGAGATAACACCGAGAACAGCACCACAAATCTCGACCAATTGATCCTCACCAACAACAAGACTATCCAGTGAGAGATCAATAGTTTCACACCAGTCCCGCATGTACATAGCGTTGTGCATCATTCTTTGATACAACTAGGTATCTCAAGTGCAGAACATTTTGCAGTCGTCACAAACATTTCATCCGCGCAGAAAACAGGATGAATCCAGTATTTCAATTGACAAGAAATAAACATTATCTGTCACAAGTAATATACACATGGCTACGGCATAAATCAAGGCTACGGCCAAAAGCCAAGAAGCCAAAGGGTACTTCGTATTCCAGTGCCGGAGATCAAAAGAAACGTGTGTCTGTTTTTGTGTTTGTTTTTGACACGTGTTGATCTCCCGCAACCGTTTTGGCTTAGGCCCTTTTTGTCACATGTACATATCGCATCAAGCCATTGCGATGGAGACACAAAGGAACCGTTCCAGGCCGATTACGGGATTCTACAGCAATATAATCCACCAGGGACAATCCATCCTCCAATCATCCACATTGACCCAGGGACCACATAAACGACCTCTACTACCACAAGGTGCCAGTTCCCTTCTGGGATAGGTACCCCAGGCAGCGGGCCTCACCCCCCCCCATTAGCTAATAGGGTCCTTTTGGGTCGACCGGATTCCCTCTTCGGTCAAACCCTTCCCGGACACGAAAAACGTCAAAACCGCAATTTTCCGAGCAACGAATTTTAATAAGACCGTTCAAGGTTGCTTTTTGGTTTTTGCGGTTCAAAAGTAAAGGGCGCAGATAAATTTAGAACTACAATTCAAGAAATAAGTGTAAATTAGTAAAGGTAAGTATTGGGTTGTTGCAAGTAGCTTGGGTCCTGGACTAATGACCCACCCCCTAATATGGCTGGGGCTGGTCTGGGTGAGAAATCCGAGAGTTTAGTATTGGTTTTGAATTAGCCTATTCTAAAAGTAGTACGGTCTGGGGAAAATAGTAGCTATTAATAGGGTCCTTGTATAGGGGCGACGGATATTGCTGCAACGGCACTCTTTTCTCTCACTCTTTTCAAGTGGCTGATTGTTGGAGTCTTGGGCCACAGTGTGAGTGCCATGAGCAAGCATAACATCAGTTGTTTGGGCCCAAAAGAGGAAACCAAAGGGAATGCCATCAGAACATGACTGCAAATATGGCACAGGGCCTGGGGCTTTCACACACTAGACAACTTGACTACGCATTCGTGAACAAATTTGGGTGTGATTTAGATGCGGGCAGCAGCCAACGTTGGTGGGGGCACACCCTTACTTTTCTGCTCTTGCAAGCCGAGGAGTGTACACGTGACACGCGTTTCTTGCGACTGACATTTGATCTTCGATCGCCCATCACGCGAGCACTCGCCACCTGCGCGTGCACATTGCCAGACACAGCCCCGTAGCAGCTCCAAAAGTTCCACACAAAGCGCCTGTGAGATTGAACGTCAAGCTGCCGGTGAGACAGCTTTCTTTCACGTTGGCCGTCCTTGTCAATGGAGGGTTACGCGTAATTGACACACTCGGGGAACTGCTCGGTTGCAATGGTGCACCACTCCTGGGAGCCATCATCTCTTCAATCGTATCAACGTCCTCCTCTAAACGCTGAATCTTCTCCGGACATAGTACTTGCACCCCAGACACATCTTCAACGTACCTAGCCTGCCACTTGAACCGCTTCAGAGCGAGGCGGAAAATACGCTGATCTGTTTGCACCATTTCGGCCATGGTCTTTTGGAGCTCGTCTTCGACATCTCTCAGCTCATGCGCGGGCACCCCGTGGGCATGATGTGTCACGTTGAAGTGGGCGTGGGTTTCGCAAGCACAGCCCTCAGGTAGTGTGCTCGACGCGAAGAATCCAAATAAGCAGAGTGACTCGGTGTACCTTGGGCACAAGCAACACCATCCTTTGCGACTTGAACCCAGAAACCTGGAATGGAAAACATCAGAACAAGAATAAACATCAACGCAACAACAGTACTAAGTCCTGCGTAGTACAAGTCCACCATTCCGACAAAATGAAGCTCGTCCATGTGCCTTGCTGCCTGATCGAAATCCGGATGCCGTTGCATCAGCGCATCAAAGCCGTTGCAGTGAAAAGGGTGAAAACTGTTCGCAGATGTCAAATGTCTGGTTTGTTGGTTCCAGGGGTTGTAGCAACCCAGTACAAAGCTCCGTGTCAGATTTTGGATGACTGGCCCCGACCAGTTACCAAGCCACTCTTTCAACCCCCCGTATAATCCATCAAACGCTTGCCAACTCCACCTGGTCATGTAATTCCTTCCTTCATGCTTGCAATGTAGGAACTGCGAGAGTACATGCTTCAGCGGATGCCGAAAGAACATAACAAGGGCTTGACCTTCTCCGTGGCCGCCTTGCCAACAATCCTCGCCGTTTCCCACCAAAGTGCTGCCTCGTGGCAGCACACGAGGAGCATCTTTGAGGAAGGAATCCCCGGCAGCCTTGGGTGTATGAATAAGAAGGAAATGCTTGGCGCCTCGATGCGCAAAAGTTCGTAGTTTGCCTGGATATAGAATTCCATCCCGATTTGATAGCTGCCGGGAATTGGTGGCCGTTGCTTGTAAAACGCTTCCCGTGTCAGCGCCTAATGTGCAAACAAACGAAGAAACCATCGCATACCAACACATGAACAAGGCCAAAGACGAGCGCCGATCACGCACCCCGAGCATTGCCATGACGCGCCCAAAGACTCCGGCGAGTGTGTCAATACCTCAACAACTGCACCACGCTCACGTCATTGTTTTATGGCAAACGCATAGAATGACGATGTTGCTGGCTAGCTGATGTTTGGTTGTTGCCAAAGAGTGAGGCTGCCTCACGCACAGGAGCCAAGAGCGTCCAATGCAAATACGTGCCAAATCAACAGTGCAAAAGCGTTCCAACATCAAATGCAAATAACGTCAATGAAGGAAACGGTTAAGCAAGGCACAACTGAATCAACCATGACAGCACGCCGGCGGCCCTTTCACCGAATAGCTACTGTAGATGCACGCATACCATAGTCGGCTTTGCGGGGAACACTTGCCCTTCTGGACTTGTTCGGTAATGAATTTCTTGATCACATTTACTGGCAAATTCCAGCACGCCATGGCCCACTGTCAACCAAATGCGCAACGGGACCGCTGGCAACAACACTGATGTCGCACGGTGTTGGGGTTCACGGCGGTTTGTCTGCCTTTCGCAGCGAGCAACGCCACTCCGCTGCCTGTTTTTTGAACGTTTGCCCACGTCCACACGCGCCCTCACCAGTGTGAGCGCGTGTCCCTTGAGAGTGACAGCCAATTACATATTGCGAGTTGAGCAGGGTGAGGTTCAGGCTCAACGGTAGGGGCCCGAGCCCCCTGTGTCTGTTGTGGCCCCCAAAGAAGGTGAGCAGGGCCAGGGCGCGCTTTTTCACTGTGCGCGAGGCGAAGCGATTGGCTAAGTAGCCCGTGCACTGGAGTCAACCCCTAAGTCGAGGAAGCCAGCCCACCCTTGCTGCGGTGTGCGCATGCATGTTTTGCTGTGCGAAACTCACACCGGTGGGTGAGGGGAAAGATTCGGCCATGCGCATTGTGCACAGTCTGCGTTCGCGCGCCGCATTCCGGGCTGTCGTGCCAAACTACGCCATGCGGGGCTGCATAGATATTGTCTATCGGGGCATTCCGTGCACGGATGCGCTCGCGCAGCTTCTTGTTGTTGTCCACGAGGTGCTGGTTGCGGTAGTCCATGTCGTAGAGTTGGTTCAGCAGCACTTTCTTCTCATCGGCAAGGGCCTCGATCTGCCACACGAGCTCATCCGGGCCATAAAGCTCCTCGGTCTGCGTGGCCTGCGTGATGAAGACCTTGGGCTTGCTGCTGTTTCTCAAGGCGCGGCAGATGGCCATGCCCGTTCCGAAGATCATGATCAGGAAGAGCATGAAGAGCGTGTAGAACTACAGGTCGCCGACGAAGTCGTCCAGCTGGGCTTTCAGCGCGACCGCGTCGGTCGAGGTGGCCTCAGAGATGGTGGGGCCCATCATCATGATGGCCATCTTTGCTGCTTCGCGGCGAGATGCCGCATATGTTCGCGCACTTGCGCAACGGTCTGCAGGCGCTTTCTTCTCTTCTTCGCCGCCTGGAAGTCCAGGTCCTCCTTGATTCGCAAGGTGTGGGTCCTCAGGCGATCAGCAAGCAGCTGGGCGGCTGAGTGCTTCGTCAGTCATCAGCAAATTGCTGCTCTAACAAAACCCAATCTGTCTTTGCACCAGCCTGATGAAGTTTGTCGCGGGTGACCAGGACCTCGATGGCGGATCTCTTGTCCAAGGCTTGAGCGGCTTGGACCTTGTCCTTGATGAGCAGGTTGTAGAGTGCTTTAGCATCAACCACCAGCGCTCCAGTGTTCTCCATCTTGAAGGTGTTCGGGCCCTGCAGCGAGAGGCGCGGGTCCAGCATGAGACGCCAGAACACGGTGCAGTAGGCCAGAGCGTCAGCAGCTTCCGAAGCTGCCTGCAACTCTGCAGCTAGCAAGGACCTTGCGATCCTTGGCAACTTGAATGATCGCCAGTCCAGAACACAGTATGGCGACTCAGCTGCGATGGCCTTGTGGGTCATCACGACCTTGGGGCGATCTTAGCCGGAACGAATCTTGCTTGGTTCAATATAGCTGGAACTGAAAATAACGCAAAGCCTGCAAGGGGGGGGGGGGTTTTCCCCTGCAAACAATTCCATCTAAGTCAGCATCAACGATGGCTTTAGAGTTCAACGTGATCAAACCTGCAAAGGAGTCCTTGCCCACAAGAAGGAAAGCCGTCTAAGTTCTGCGCAGACAAAAAGATCTTTTTGCGTCGCAGAGGCGGCGGCCGGCTAGAATCCCTAACAGTGGCCAGCTCGGCGCCCGCAGCTCACCTGGTACTCATCCCATGAGACATCCAGCACAGGACAAGCAGTTCCCCAGAAGCAAGCCAATCCCCGGTCCCAAAGATCAGGGTTTCCCACACACAAGAGAACAACAACCAGAAAGGAAAAACCAAAACAAGAATGCAAATACCCGCAACCTTGGTCGATGATGAACCGCACGGGCGGACCCCGCCAATCTGCCCCGGGTCGATGTGTCTTTCTCCACCGACACGTGGGGGACCCGGCGACGCTCTTCGGACCCGCAAACTTGAGCCAAACACCACCGGTCAGTCACTATCGCGACATTCCTGGCGATGCTCCAAAACATGGCTAATCACACCCCCCTCACGAGGAGCCCGTCATATGATGGGTGGAGCGTGCCGACTGATAAGAATTAACTGCTCGCATACGTCCGCAAACAGCGGGACACTGCCGCCATCAGCGGTGGAGCAAACCCACATAAGCCGTCACCACCCCGAATTAATCGGGGTAACGCTGTCCAACAAACCCAGTGGAAAAATAGGTCACAACTGTTTGCATCAGAAATGCAAGAAGTTTATTCTTATCAGAAGCCATGAAAAGATAAATTTGAAAAACATACTAATTCCGCAAACCCGGAGTAACCTCCAGTTTGCTTCCTCTCTCACTCAAACTACTCAATGATGACCATCACCGGCAGCCGATCAGCGGTACGGAAGAGACATGAACAACACGCCTCACCCCGCAGCGCCGACCATCAAAGAAACGGCTGCAAGCCCGTCGGCCGCAACCCTCGTGATCCAGCCTATCGGCTATAGTCACGCCTCCTCCGTTCATGTTCGCCCCGCCGCGCACGGTCTCGGTCACGATCCCTGTCTTCCTGTCTGCCTTCTGCAATCGTCCCTCCTCCGATCTCAGTCTCTATCAGCCGATTCATCGCCGCGACGATCCCGGCGATCGTCCCTCCTTCGGTCGCGATCATCGCCTCTCTCTGCGCGGTCGATAGCTTTGCCTCGAGAATCTCCGGTTTCCGGCGTCCTAACGGACCTCCGGGAGGGCGTGTGTGAAACCTCCGTCCTTCGACGCGCACGCGCCGCAATGGAGTTCGCCACGATCTGGCTGAACGCTTCCATCGCCGAGCCATCCTCGCCGTTCTTGATGACGTCTCTGACGCCGGTTGAGCTCCCGGTTTCTGGACATCGACAGGAACGCGTCCATGGATGCCTCAGGCAGCACGCTCCCTGATTGGAAGCTGTCGAGGGCGCTATCGCGTCCTGAACAGACCTGCCGAGTGCGGAGCGAAGGTCATCACCACTCGCCTCCCTGGCCGCTGCACCTGCTATCAACATCGTCGGGTCTCTTCGACGCCTCCCGCTTCGTTGATTCCTTAGCAGGCTCCTCCGTATCCCAACGCGACTTCCTCTGTTTTTTGGGTTTCTCCTCCGAGCCCCGGCTCGCCAGGAGCATTGTCCGACTGGTCTTTTCCTTCTTGACCTCGGTCTCGCGTCAGCCTTCTTCTCCTCCTTAGTCTCAACCCTCGTTGCCTGACCGCCTCCAGACTCGGGAGCCTTCCCCTTCAGTTCCGCCTTTGGAGCCTGACTCTCACCAGACTTTGGATAAGGTGCCGCCTTCGCCTTCGCGCTTGGTCTGGCTCCTTCAACCGCTACCTCCATCCAGGTCCTCCCGGCGCTGCGTTGGGCGGATTGACATCGATCCTGCACCAGTCTTGGCCTTGGGCTTTGCCTTGGGAACGTCAGGGCTAGCGCCCTTACCGGACCCTTTTCACCGGATTTCGGTTGGGGAACGGGAGGATCCGATCACCTTCGTCGCCTCCTTCAGCCTCTTCTTCTCATCGTACCCGGTCGATGACGCCACGAAAGACCTGATCTTGGACATCAGCCTATGACTAGCCAGGATGTCCTCGTCCTTCCGACAGAGTGGGTACAGCGGTGTCAAGTGACCTGCTGCAGCGCCAATCACGTTACGTGTCATGGCGGGCAAACTTCCAAACGAAAGTCGTCATTCGCCTTCCCTATTGGGCAGCATGCGTGGGGTTCGTGCGGAAGTAGTCAGACACCGACTCATATCTATCTGGCCTGCGCTGATAAGGCGCTTCGCCACCCACTTCTCGACGAACGCGTCCGACGTCATGATCCCCGAAACGTGGGAATACTGGAACAGCACCCTTGCCATCTCATCCCCGCTCTTTTGCTTCTCGAGGTAGGGTGGCAACCTAATGCCGCTCTGCTCTGCACCGTCATCCTCAAGTCCGAGCTCATCGAGTAAGAAATCAAGGTTTTCTTGATGACCCCAACCTCCTCATCCGCGATCCTCCTGGGGCTGAACTGCCTCATGTCCCTCACCCAGTCAGGGACAATTGGACTCTGAGCGAAATCGGAACGAATTCCGGGTAGAAGATCGGGAGCGCACATCCGGCGCACAAGTGCATCCCGCAAGGAGTGATCTCAGCGCACCTCAGACAAAAAGTACTGCTGACGTTCAGCTTGATACCCTCCCGCATCCGCTTGTGACTCCCCCTATCGGGTGTGAAGTCTCCATAGGATACACTATCGTGCAATCATCGAACACGCGCGCGGCTTTCCATGCACCCATCTGGATCGCATCCCTAACAGCAAGAGTCTTCCTTCTCGTCAGGAACGCAGGGCCAGTCAATGACCAGTGTACTCAAAGATCCACCATGATCACCACGTACCTAGCTGAGTATCCCTTACATAACTGCTCCGCAACCGAAACCAGGCCCTCATCATTCCTACCATCACCAATCATGTGGTACTCATGATCAATATCTCGATCATGGCCCTCCCATTTCGCCGCATCCTCTGGACGAAGTTGTGCGTCGCCTTCCTAGCCAGGTT